ACCGCAGATGTATTTGGTGCACAGGAAAGCAGAAAAACAAACGTTCTTTAACCGCATTAATTTCAAGTTCAGGAAATGGTGAATAACACACCTATTCTTATATGTGTTTAGGAGGAGCCTGTTGAGTAAGGAGGCTCAGGCTGTATTTAAAGATGGAGGAATACAATTATTGGTACCTGAGACTGAAACCATCAAGGGCAGAATTTCTGTGTTGCAGGTAACACTGGAATCAGACAATTCCAGAGGAATACCTGGAGCCATATGTGATAAACACATAATATGTATTATATTCTGGCTTTCGCAGATATTAAGATGGATGCTGTGTGTTGTGCATTACAGTAGAATGTTGGTCTTTTGTAGAAGTAGTTTCATTATGCAGACATAGTTGTGAGATAATCACTAATTCTTTTGTTTTTGTAATTCAGACATAGCTGCAATGTAGCTGATGTTGTTTTAGAGCACTTGTGGTTAACTTGCAATAACTGAAATAATAAAGTTTGTGACTTAAACATTTCCGTGAAGTGCTTTTTGCACATTATAGCAAAACTGTACAAAAGCTGCAGCAAAAACCACCAAACCCCTGAAAGGGGCCCTGGCTGCACTGCTCGCTGATCGAAGAGAAGATAAGGAACAGCCGAACACCTTTGGGGTGCAGATCGTACCCCAGGGCTCTCATCTTCCGCAGCAGCACAGACCCAGACACCAAAGGGTGGGGGGAGGAAAGAGATTTTGGGGATGGTCAGAGGCAGCGAAACGCCCGTCCTGTGCTGGGCAAAGGAGCTCAGCTGAAGGAACCCCAACCCCCGGGACGAGCTCATCCACAGGGACAGTCCCGGGGGTGTCATGGCCCATCAAAAACCCTSCTATGGACACTGCCACCGTCAGCCACTGTCACCTGCTGAAACCACAGAACAGGGGGCATGAACACAACCCTCAAATCCACGAGCACGAGGGCTGCACACGCTCTAAAAAGGTGGATTGGAGGAGGGGCCATGCTAAACAGTTCCTGGAACATGGAAACTAGCGCAGGGAAGTGTTTGAATGTGTATAATTGTTTATGAATAGGTATTTGACTGATGCAGCAGACAGGGTATGTAAGAGGTGTTGCCATGGTGAGCAGAGGAGCTTTTTGGTTAAAGCCACATTAGCTTTATTGCCTTTGTCCCCTATTGTCCCTTATTAAATTTTTCAAATTGTAACAGAAGAATGAGCTTCGTTTCTCACACATATAAAAAAATGCAAGAACACTCCTGGTTTGGGGCAAAGCAGAAACAATATCCTTTAGAACTGGAAGCTAGGAAGGGAATCAAGAGTGTAATTGAGAATTTAAGGGAATTTGGATTACTGAACACTCAATTTCGGCAGTTGAAAGGCTGGGACGAACAGGTAAGGTCAATACAAGACCCACCAGTGATGGGTGAAATAGCCCAGGACATCCACCCGGCTGGAGCCAACCCCTGTACCCCGTTAGCTGCCCTGACAGAATGTCACCAAGGGCTCACGGGGACAGATCTGAAGGACGCCTTCTTTTGCAAACCTCTCGATAAACAAAGTCAGGGCATTTCTGCCTCTGAGTGGGAAAACCCCCGAGCTGGCTGGAAGACTCAGCTTTCCTGGGCTGTGTTACTTCAAGGCTTTAAAAATTGCCCAATGGTTTTGGGAACCGAGTGGCAAAGGAACTGGAGGGCTGGAAGAAGAAGAACCCCAAAGGGTTGGTCCTGCAGCGTGTGGGTGACACCGTGTGTGCAGCTGAAATGAATGAGCAGTGCGTGGGATTCTCCATCAGCCTTCTCAACCTCCTGTGCCAAGGAGGCTGCAGAGCATCCTGGGAAAGGCTCTAATGAGGCAGCAGAGTCTGAAATCATTCCAGGGCCACGGAGATTGGGAGGATCCCGGAAGGACCTTTAATTCTGTCTTGGTTTGAAAGACAGGTGTTTGCTAATGAAGGCAGGGACCCCCTTGAAGTGGTGGATATGACCCCCCTTCCCTCCGAATT